GACGTGCATGTCCCTTGATGATCACTTTGTTTGGCAGTGACCACTGTGCAGCTGCGGATAACCTAACGGGTGGCCGGGGGTCCGGCTCAAAGCGGCAGTAGGAAATAGGTGGTGTTTAGTCAGTAAGAGTCTGACACTCTCACCCGCCTCATCCCCACACAATTCATTGGACCCCCAAGTATTTCAAAATGGGACTTACAAAGTCAAAATCATTTATTTCAATTAGACTTTTGAACGTCAGGAATAGAAATTTAAAAGTGGAGCTATTTGCTCATTCCAAGGTGTAAATTTCTATGGAGAAGAACGAGCAAGAAACTCCATAGGTTATTCTTTTTCAATCAGGTTCAATACAATTCTCCAGTTACACAGTTTTATTAGTTCGACGATTGTGCTAGAACAATGTAACACCGAAATCCAGTCAAAGAGATCGAAAAAGAAAATAACCTTAAATACAATAAATAATGCAGTCTGGAGCTGACCAGTCCCAGTTGACGGCGCCCGCCGTATACATCGAAAATATACAAAAATAAATAGTGGGGGTGGGGGTGTTACAGATACCTACCGAACTCGAATTTTACTATTGACGGTGTATCATCAACAGCCTATAAATGCCCACTGCTGAGCAAAGCCTCTTCTCACACGGAGAAGGTTTGAGCATTAATCACCACGCTTGCTCGATGCGGGTTGGCGATTTCAAACTTATAATTAGAAATTAAGTAATAAGTCCAGGTTTCCTCAAGATGTTTTCCTTCACCGTTTGTCAGTGGTGTTTGATCTTAGAAAGTACCTACATATAACTCGGAAAAAGTGACATTTGTAGGTAGGTAATTGCCGTTGGTAGGTTTCGAACCCTCTCATGCATGAGAAGCCAGCGTCTTAAACCTCCGGGCCACCACGACATTTTCCTCCGGGCCACCACGACATTTTACCTGTGCCGGTATATAACATTTTAAGTTTATACCACGACCACCTACTGCTTTCAAAGTAATTTCTCGCTCTGATTGTATTAAACCAAAACTGCGACTGCTGCTTAGTACCTTATGACAATGAGTAACGCGACACTGACACGGTGGGTAGTCGCATTGTAAAGATAGCGACAGTTGGTTTAGCTCTCGACTGGACTGAACCTCGTACCTTTTTTACTGAGGTGCACATGGTACTAACATAGTACCTACCTAACAGTTATGTTATGAGCCCCATGTCGTATGAAATAAATGCTATATTGCCATGAGCATAGATAATACATATAATACTACATACCTCCAAATAAATGTGTATTATATATACAACATGTAACTTAAATAACGCACATGCTGAAAATAGTTTATTCAGAATCGTTAACTGAATCGATTTATATAATTTTTAGTAGGTAGGTATAGGTAATTTTTTACCCTAAAAATAATTAAAACTACGGAAATTATTGTCATATTAACCCTGTATTATTAAAACAAATCGAAATGGACCGTAAATCAAAGCAATAAGACTTTTAAAATCGCAGTTTTATTTGTATTCATACAAATTCTATCATTCAATACAAAACTCTGCCTACCCTTTCGGGGATAAAAGGCGTGATGTTATGTATGTATTATTTCATAGTTTTAAATGTAAATTTATGGTTACTCTGCCATATTATTATATTTATTCTGATATTAAATAAGGTTTCCACATTCAAAAGATGTCGGTTAGTTCGCAATCAATATGAGTGACTATTATATTTGCACGCCATTGTACCTCTATACGGCAAACATGTCTACCCGCTACCCGCTATCTTACATGCGATTGTTTATTGTGTGTATTCGGAGTCGCGGAGAACCTAACGGGTTACCGGGGCTTGGGCACGACGCGACGTGCAGGAGAAGGAACGGAGTGGTTTTTAGTCAGTAAGAGTCTGACACTCCCTCCCTCTCGGACCCAGGCGGGAGCAGTCATTCGATGATTTTCCCCCTTAATAAAAACACGTGTGTTTGAGCAAATAAATATGATTTGGTTTGATTTATTACTGACCATGATACACCAGGCGCAGTTCAAGATTCCATGTTTTTATTGAAAAACCAAAAACTCAATACTAGAGTTAGATAAGTACCTACAGCCTGGGTCATGGGTGTGATCAAGTCTCAGGTGAATGGGTTGCTTAACGGTAGGCGTCCTCTATCGTCGGCTGGAATATCGCTCACCACCAAGCGATATAGTAAACAAATGCTAACCTATAAAGTTGTCGCGGAGAACCTAACGGGTAACCGGGGCTCCGGCTCGACGTGCAGGAGAAGGAACGGGGTGGTTGTTAGTCAGTAAGAGTCTGGCACTTCCTCTCACCTTGCCCAGGCGGGAGCAGTCATTCGATGATTTCCCCCCCTTAAAAAAACCTATCAAGTTAGCATGTAGCTGAAAAACCCGGCGTCCAGCCTCTCTGTTTTTGAAGTTGGTGAAATATTATACTAAAACCTTCTCCAAAATAAAACAAACGCTTTTTTGAAACCGCATCAAAACGGTCCAGGTAATCGCGAGATATTCGCGCACAGACATATCTACATGCAGGTCTAGTTACTGAGATCTTCCTTATTTTTCTTTCTGAAGTCGGATAAAAAGCTTTAGCCTACCTAGGTCGTATCGTATTATCGACGACTTTTCTATATCAACATAAAAAAATTTGAGATAATTCAAGCTACCAACTTGGTAGTCGACATAATGTCTCCTTCCATTCTCTCCTATCGTCCAATCACAATCCCCTTTCTCCCCATAGATACCATTCCTTACAAAATCATCCTCTTTTATGCCATCCACAAGACCAATGTGACCAAAAGCGACACCACAGACATCTAGCGGCGTTGTCCTGTACTATCTAGAGTGGCGTGCGTCATGTTATTTAATCAGAACATCTCTTAATAGCTATATATCAATCGGTAAGCGCTCTCTAAGCAGGCGCAGACCTACATAACATAAATATTGGCAAAGATAATCTTGTAGAAGCGACTACATTAATGCCTTTTATGGGCCAAGATGGCTTCTTATTAACCGACTTCAATAAAAAGGAGGTTGTCTCTTTATACTGTATATATGTATGTTTGTGGGCAATTAGCTATACCGATTTTCAGAAACTTTTTTGTTACACTTAGGAGAAGGTTTTAATTAATCAACCGACTTCAAGAAAAGTGGGGGTGTTTTTAAAAGTAAAAGAAAGAAAGAAAGAAAAACTTTATTTCACACGCTAAAACAGGTGACACGTACAGATTTTACACATAAGTTTATATATGGCTACTAATGTCCCAAGTCTGCGGTGCAATGGGACCAGTTCAGCATGTGCAAGACAGGGCCTCGCGCTGGTATTCTACTGGCACCTTAAGTGACTCGCGGACGAACAAGTCACCAATCAGACAACGATAAACATAAAGCAACCAATAACACAAAATAAAATGCACATAACAAAACAAATAAAAAAAAACAAAAAAACAAATAAAAAAAACGTGTAGTTAAATGCAACCTACCAATATCCAAAAAAAACTTAAAATAATAATAAGTACCTAAAGTAAAGTAGGAAATAATTATTCATATTCTTTCGGTATTTTTGCTTAGGTGTCTTAAGAGACCAGGTAAAGAGGCAGCAGTGCTCTTTTAAATTGCAGTCTCCAACCCAGATGTTTTGGCAAACTCTCTTATGTAGAGAAGACCCATAGTCGTGCAATGGACAGCCTACTGATGATGATGATAATTCCTTTAACATCACACTAGTATCGATAACGGATTCGATGCTAATATTTAGATTACCGAATTAAAATAAGTATCTAAAACAATTAAGAGGTAACATTTAAGTGTGGGAGAGCCATGCTTCGGTACGAATGGGCCGGCTCGACCGGAGTGATACCACGGCCTCACAGAAAACCGACTTGAAGCAACGCTTGCGTTGTGTTTCGTCGTATGAGTGAGGTTACGGAGGCCCAATTACCCTCCCCTTCCCCAATCTCCCCAATTCCTGAATCCCCAACGATCCTCAAACTCCTAATCCCCAAAAGGCCGGTAACGCACCTGTAACGCCTCTGATGTTCCAGGTGTCCATGGGTGACGCCGATTGCTTACCATCAGGTGATCCGTCTGCTCGTTTACCGGCTTATGCCATAAAAAAGAGGTTTTTGAAATTCGAGAGAAAATGGTGGTTTGAACTTTACCCCAAGAAAATAAAGACGTTTTACTTATGTTCTCTACCTACTCATAACTGAAATAATGTCAAGTCTACAAGACATTAGTCTTGGTCTAGTATGTCGCAGTAACGCACGCGATGGCCCGTCGCCTGCGCCGGCGCAGCTTGGCACAAATGAGGAAACTAGCCTGAGATGTGTCTTAAGATATAATTATGTCATGCGCATGCATGTTGTTCTGGGCTTTACAGAATTTGATGTGATGCGACATAAAGTAACGAATGTACTTAGTAGTTCATATCTAAATAAACTGATACGCTCTTTATAACTAAGTACTACTTTCTCAACTACGAAGACAAGTTTTAGAGGAATTGGTGTCTAAAAATGTAAAGTCTTTATTATTTATTAAGTTATATACCTTGAAAACTGATTGTATTATAATCTGAAGATAAATAAAATAGATCTTGACTCGTGCCGCTCCCTCGCAATCCACGGCGTGTTCATCAAACCATGCAGAAAACAAAAGCAACGGAAATATTACTCCAGTCGACGACAAGAAAGCCCAGAGGACAGTTTTCTATACAAATACTTATTTAATATTCTAAATATTAACATTTAAATAAAACCTCGGCTGTGTGTTTGAATACCGTTGCCTAAAATAAACTTTAATTAAAAAATCAACTTGTCAAAAGTTACCGCCAAAAATTTTATCGCTAAAATACAATTAAACAATTTTTAACCTAAAAGTTGTAAAATCAAATAAATATTAATTGAAATGTTGTCTATAAAACAGTTTATGTGTTTAATAATTAGTTAGAACGTATCAACAGTAGTTTTTGTTATAAAAAGTGTTGAAATTGATGTTGCAAAATGACAGTTGGGATTTATCTTTCAAAGATGGATGTGAAACATGGCGGGCTGTTTCTAATGATTTTTGCTTTCTTCACAAGGCATGCATTATCGCAGGAGTACTTTAGAATGGTAAGTGCACCAATTAAAAACATTTTCAATTCAAATTTTCGCTGTTTATCTGCATTTTCTATGCAAATTTTATGCACACGAAGTTTTTTGTTGCGCAAAAACGCGCGAGTTAATGCATTGTGGCAGTTTGTATTCAGAATCTTTAGTTTACGTAACACAGTGCAAGAATTGCAAAAGATACATTAGGTTGCTATTGTTATAAATATAACAATCTTTGTGACGTCACATGATTTTTTTTATTTTTTTTTCAGTAAGTTATTAGTATAATGCGTCAAGCGTGTCTTTGCATTGTTCTTTCATATGCGTACAGTATTGAAATATGTATCAGAGACATTGTAGAACATACAAAGAGTAACGAATGGAGTTTCTTGCTCGTTCTTCTCCATTCGAATCTACTCTTTGGAATGAGCACCTAGCTTCACCTAGTTTCACTGACGGACTGACTGACAGACTATTATTTATTTTGTATTTGTTAACGTTTCAAAAGTACCAAACTATGGTTTAAACTGTCAAACACCAAGCGGTCACCGGTGACCGCGAGCTATTGTTCTTTAATTGTGTCTATAAAACCGGTACTCGACGAGTTAATTGAAATAAATGCTTTGACTTTGACTTTGATGAGGGAATCTTATTTCAGTGGTTGCGGGAGCGCTGTCTTACTTTACGGTTTTTGGTTTAGTCTTTGAAATTCGAGTTAAATGAAGTTAACTGTTTATGTCTCCAAAATTCGTAAGCACGATAGATATACGACATCCTTACTTCCTTATCCTTACTTCCTTACTTATATTATAAATCGGAAAGTAAGTTTGTTTGTTTGTTTGTTTGTTCCGCTTTCACGACTTAACTACTGAACAGATTGCTTTGAATTTTTGCAGACGTAAAGTTAGAAGTCCGGATTAAATAATAGGGTACTTTTTATCCCGGAAAAATTTGATATTCCCGAGGGAAAACAAAAGTATTGGAATAGATAGCGCTGTGTGTATTGGTATATGTCACATAGGCTATTTTTTATCCTTTTGTGACGCGGGCGAAGCCACGGGTAAAAGCTAGTATAAGATATGACAAAAAGTAGGTGTTATAATAACAATTTTGCACCTTGTCCGAAGACATGGCAATCAAGAATCTAAGCCCTTTGTTCAACAGTGGCACTTGCAACCACTTAACCAACAAGCCAATCATATTAATTTATAATTAACTAGCTTTTACTAGGGTGTTACATTGTACAGTGGCATAATGTGCACCTCTGCCTACCCCTTCGGGGATAAAAGGCGTGTTGTTATGTTATGTTTTATACTGCGATCTCCAACAGTACATTCTTGCGACATTCCGAACAGTACTAGTGTTGCCAAATGTATTCTAATTACTTCGCAGGGACCATGCTGATTGTGGTTATATGTATTTGTAGTTTTATCCCCAATTTACTTATTTACTACTAGCTTTTACCCGCGGCTTCGCTCGCGTCACAAAAGGATAAAAAGTTGCCTATGTGACATATACCAATACACACAACGCCATCTATACCAATACTTTTTTCCCTCGGGAATATCAAATCTTTCCGGGATAAAAAGTATCCTATTATTTAATCCGGACTTCTAACTTTACGTCTGCAAAAATTCAAAGCAATCGGCTTAGTAGTTACGGCGTGAAAGCGGAACAAACAAACAAACTCACTTTCCGATTTATAATATTAGTAAGGATAAGGATTTTGCGTATTGAGAAAGGCTATACGACATCACACGCGATAACGACATTGCATAAAGTGTTATTAAACGAATAAATCTTGAAAACAGTACCTACCTAATTTAAAACTTTAAAAGGACTGCCTTATTGGCCGAGTGGCCGCAAGGGGTCTCGGGTTTGATTTCCGGGTGGGGCAAGTATTACAGGGATTTGAAAAAAAGCACGGAGTCTGGCAACGTGCCCGGTATAAGGCAATAGGCTCACCCCCCCCCCCCCCCCTATTACATGGGCCTTATAACATAAATAGTGAAAAGTGGGTGTTACATTGTACAGTGGCATTAAGTGTCGAAATGTGCACCTCTGCCTACCCCTTCGGGGGTAAAAAGGCGTGATGTTATGTTTATGCGTTATTTTAAATCCCAATTTGGGTATAATTCTCAGTAGTATATGGAACCAGGGCTTAGAATACAAGCTCGCCTCATCATGTTCACGGATCTTAACATAACTGTTGAAAAGTGAGTGTTCTCATACAGAAACAAGACACATCACCATCATCATCAACAGCCTATAAGTGCCCACTGCTGACCAAAGGCCTCTTCTCACACGGATAAGGTTTAAGCATGAATCACCACCAACTTATAAAAAGACATTACAATAAGCCCAGGTTTCCTCACGATGTATTCCTTCACTGTTTGTCAGTGGTGTCTAGATACTCTGAGAAAGTTAGGTACATACCTCGTGTGTTCATAAGTTTTGAGACAAACTTTTTGCTTATAAAAATAAAATAAAAATTACTGGCTGCTGTATATTTCTTTTTCTAATTTTGAATTTGGAATGTTAACTTTTAATATCTATGATTTCGGATTATTTTATTTAAATTTTCTTGTAATGGAGGGAACAAAAGAATTACGTGCGACCGTCATTTCATTATTTAAGGTGAGAAGAAAACCTATGGACATTTTCCGAGAACTGAAAAGTTTTGATGTGAGCCGTAACTTCGTGTATTACACTATTAAACGATACCAGGAGACAAGTTCTTTACATGATCGACAAAGAAGTGGTCGTCCACGCTCTGTGAGGACGCCCGCGAACATTAAAATCATCCGAGAGCGACTTCGCCGAAATCCATGTCGCACTCAGAAGAAACTCGCTCTGCAGCCCAATATTTCGCGCGTTTCAGTCAACAGAATACTGAAATATGATCTCAAGGTTAAGGCGTATAGCCGTAGAAAAGTACACTTTTTAAACGATCGCCTTCGTCAATTGCGACGCGAACGTTGTCCAATACTGCTTAGGAGACACGATGCGAGGAAGATACTCTTCACCGACGAGAAAATCTTTACCGTCGAAGAAAAGTTCAATCGACAAAACAATAAAGTGTATGCCAAACGTAGCAAGGATGTCCCACCTTCAGCACGGAATGTCTCGCGTACTCATCATCCGGCTAGTGTCATGGTATGATGGGGAGTTTCGTACGAAGGTGTCACTCAGCTTCATTTCTGCCAACAAGGCGTCAAGGTGAAAGCCAAAAATTATCAAAGTGACATTCTAGAGACTGTTGTGAAACCCCTGTCTAATACCCTATTCCATAACAAGTATTGGGTTTTCCAGCAAGACTCGGCGCCATCCCATAAGGCTAAAACCACCCAAGCTTGGCTGAAGGAAAATGTGCCGGCCTTCATTGCGGCGAACGAATGGCCCTCCTCCAGCCCCGACCTCAACCCGCTGGATTATTCTCTATGGACCGAATTAGAGCTCAGAGCCTGCCGAAAGTCCCACCCAAACTTGGAGTCACTTAAGCGAGCTCTTGTCCGAGAAGCGAAGCGAATTCCTCTGGAAAAGATTCGTGCCGCCATTGACGACTGGCCAAATCGTCTAAGGGCATGTATTAAAAACAGGGGTGGTCATTTTTACTTACTATCTACTTAATGTTTGTTATTGTTTTTATAAATATAAGTTTATTATTTAAAAAGATATGCAACTTTTAATTTGTCTCAAAATTTATGAACACGCGAGGTATAGCTCGGAAAAATGTCACATTGGTACTTGCTTGGTAGGTTTCGAACCGGACTCTCATACATGAGAAGCGGGCGTCTTAAACCTCCGGGCCACCACGATAGAAGATGGTTATTTCATACGGGACTCGACAGTCGAAATGAAGACAATCAGCCACTCTAATAACTCTTAGACTATCTTTTACCATAGTATAAAGAACACAGTAGGTTATCTAAGGCCGCCCGCCGAGTTATTAGCCTACTCTTGCGTTGATCCCCAGGGTTGTCACTTTACTTTTAGTTAATATTTTCGAACAAGCAGCACTTGATCTAAATTTATGAAATGAAAAGCATATTATGATTGAATATTTTATCAATTTATAAATTTAGTAAAAATTAAAAGCTTATAAAAAGATTATTAACTTCTTAAAATAAACTTTAGCTCTATACATAGTATTCAGAAAGTAAATTTGGGAATACATTTATATGGAAAAATGCGACTCGGCTACGCTCTTACCAAATCAGATAAACTGTGAAATAAACAATACAATACCACATTTTCTTATAATATTTAAGTATAGTAGGTAATTACATTTCTGGTTGAGTAGGAACTATGAAGAATGATAAGAGTAAGAATAAGTAAGTAGGTATCTCATCATCAAGTACCTACAAATTATATTATGCTAGAAAAAGTGACTAGCTTACCTTTCCTGTTCAATAGGTACCTAATCTGAACAGAGACAGTTCTGGAATCGATTAATTATTAAGACACCCAAACACACAGCAATACGTTCTTCTACGATTATCAGACATTTTTTATTTCATTGAACAGTGCCGAAAAGCCGTGAAGCGCGCGCGGACCTCGTACAGTGTCAGCCCTGCCTGGCGCACTGAGAAACGGGTCGAGATTTTGTTAAAGTGTGCGTGCGTCGACGCATAGATACTATGGCGCACACATATAAGCCGCGCGCGGAGCATTTGTATGAAGATAACCTACTTTGTTCTTTATACTATGCTTTTACTCAGCCCTGCTGTCCAGAAGTCAAGACATTGTAGAACATACTTTTTTAAAAAGAGTAACGAATAGAGTTTCTTGTTCGTTCTTCTCCATTCGAATCTACTTTTTGGAATGAGCGCCTAGCTTCACCTAGTTTCACTGACGGACTGACTGACAGACTATTATTTATTTCGTATTTGTTGACGTTTCAAAGGTACCAAACTATGGTTTAATTGAAATGAATGCATTGACTTTGACGTTGACTTTGTCAAACCACATACATAACATCACGCATTTTACTCCCGAAGGGATAGACAGAGTTTTAGACA